CCACCCCCAACCCCCCTTCCCTCAGCTAGAGCTTGCTCGATCTCTCTTACTGTATCCGAGTTCGGGCCTTTCCTTGCCCCGTTAAACCCGGGCACAGTTAATTCTCTCTCTCTCTCTCTCTCTCTATATATATATATATATAAAAGGGGATTCCGGTAAGGTCCCACTGTAGGGATGGTCCTGTCCCGCTGCAGCGGGTGCCTCCATAGTCATGTTCTACTGTTGCTGTTTTAGTTTTGCGATATTTGCAACACAATCAGATCACATAAATAAATGTTGAAAATTAGTGGGTGTTACATGAGAGTAACAAACGCAAAAAAAAAAAAAAGGAGAGATAAGGATGATAGATGTTTGATAGACAAGAACGATCAAACTGCACCACAGCACCTGCCAACCACCCACTGACAGAACAAGATAAAACAACAACAAATGACGTCTCAATGCACCAAACGGTTAAATTTTTTTCGATGGAACATTTCAAATGATAAAAATAACGATATCGCAAGAAATAACAAACTGAAAAAAACCCCCAAACAAATCATAATCGTAAGCAGGGAAAAAAAAAAAAAAAAGAAGAAATTTTGCTTGTAATTTGTTTGCATTAAATGTGACAAAGAGAGGCTTCTGTAAGTGTGACTTTCGTAAGTTCATAGTTGGTGCAAATGCAAGGCAAAAAAATTTGTGATGGATAGATAGACCACAACCAAGGGCTCTTCAACCGTATCTCTTTCTCACAAGTTTTTGTTTTGTTTTTGAATGCCTGTACGTCTGGATGCATGAACGTCTGGATGCATGTGTGCATGTGTCTGTGTACTTCTGTTTCTAGTGCGTATATATGTATGTGCTTATGTTTGTGTGTATGTGTGTGCATATGTGTGTGCATATGTGTATGCATATGTGTGATTACTTCTGAACATTTGTGACAGTTTATATATTTGTTTATGAAAGCATGTGTGTGTTTGTGAATGTGTGTAAAAATATAGGCGTAAGTTTGTGTGTGTATCGGTGTGTATGTGCGTGTGTTTATGAGCATATACATGTATGTACGGTGATTCTATTTAGTGACCCTCAGACACCTGAAAAAAAAAAGTAAATAATTCATCTGGAATTTCCATACAAAAAAATACATTTCGTTCGCTAATGCCCACAATGAAGTAATGTTCAAAATACAAGAAAACATCAGAACAAAAAATACAGAGATAAGAGCTATATATAATTAATAATATATATATGTATAAATATATAAATAAATAAATATACATATATTATATATATATATATATGTATATATATAAACTAAGACTGTTTTAAATCAGTATCCGGAGAGTTAATAAAAAGGCACACAAATGTTATTAGGCACTGTCTTTAGAAGTCAAATTTGGCAGTTAAAAAATTTCACTTAAAAAATACTGGCTGAATCAAAAGGCCTCACAATTTATAACACTCGTGTTGTAGGAGACGAGATCGTACACGATTTTTCCATTGAGTGTAAAAAGATAGGAATGTGTGTGTCGCAAACCACAGAATGTAGAAGACAAGGAATAAGAGCAACAAGATAAACAAATGGCATTTTACTTCATGAACAATCACAATGGCGACTCCTCTGTAGTTAATGAGATCATCTGAGATTTTTCATCTTTAGGATAGTAAAAATTTCTTGATTATTTGTCCCTACAATAGATTAAAAAAATTATTGACCTGTCCAAGAATGTCTAGATTTTTTATCCCTGAGATAACTTCAAAACTTTTTATTCTTAGAATAATTTTTAGATTTTTAAAATCCCGATGATAACTTTTTATTTTAAGGACAATTTTAGTTTAGATTTCTTTTCCCAATAATTTTTTGACTTTTTATCCTTCAGGTGATTTCTAGAATCGCTAAGATAACTAAGATTTTTTATCCTCAGGAAATTTCTGGATTTTTTTCTCCTACCTATAACTTTTTGATTCTTTTTGGCCTAGATCTAACTCTTTAAGCCCTGAGCTTTTTCCACCGTTTCCCGAAGTTTTTCTCTACAATCACCTAAACCTAGAGCACTATGTCTCATTATAACCCCAAAAGCTTACCCCCAACTTCTAAATAGCGGAAACGTAGGCTTAGTCACTACTAAAAATCTTGGTTTGGGAATAGTTAAAAAAAACAAGCAAAAACTAGCACTAAATAAAACGAAACAGTTGTCACGAGTACTGGACGCTCCCAGCATCCAATGGGGTTCAAAGAGTTACGATACCTTTTTGATCTTTCATCCGTAGAATAGTTTTTTACTGTAACAGCAGGAAGGGTTTTACTTCAAGCAATCACCAAAAGAGGGAACATACAATCTAATAACTCTTTATACCGTACTTAAAACTTGTATTGGTATATCTTGTTCAGGATTGTAGACTGAAATAGCAGAGAAATCTGATATTTCCACTACAATTTTTGATTGATGAAGTACACTTGTTTAGCAAACTTGACACGCGCCTTAAAATGCCATAACAATTTTTGTCAAGGAGGCGTCAGTTTCTCTTCCAATAAACAAAATTTGAATATTAAAATTTTTACATCCATTAGTGAAAGAAAGTGTTTTCTTTCTTTAAAAAAAGTAAATGTAATTCATATAACATTTGCAACAGGACGCAAAATCATGGGATACTGCTGTAAAACCTCCAACAGTCCTCAGAACATTATTGCAGGAAAAATTTTCCACCGTGTTGATAGGCAAGAAGAATTCCAGTGGGGAAAAAAACCCAACTCTTTGAAGGACTTTGAAAGCAAAAAATTCGAGCAGGCTGACGTTAATACGTGATACTAACAACAGCAACGTAAATAGAAATAAAACTGAAATCCTGATTTCGATGTCATTTTACAGTAGGACAGTTCTGGAGCTAAATACTAACGTATACCAGACTCACAAGAAATAATATTATATATTCATAGAAAACAAAATTAATGGATACGACAATAAATGCAAATCGGAGTATGATAATAAATATGACATAATTTGTCACTGAGTATGTGGTGTTATTACACTTCATTCTTAATAACATACCACAGAATGTCAACCTTCTGAAATATTGTAGCCTACATATTGAAATTATCTTCGCAAACATTTTAAAAATCATGACATACAATCATCAAGTCTTTCCTCTAATCATGTATGGGCAGAAAAATACTGACATGGTCTCAATATGGAAATTGTAAGGATATCAGATTTAAAAGTCTGTAGATAAAATAATTTCATTTCTGTTTGGCTGCTGCTTATTATTGTTAAAATTTGAAAGCTCAATGGAAAATCAGACAAAAATGATAAACCAGCAGTCAAAGAGCAATGAAATTTTCAGTGTAAAATATTTTAAAATCAATTTTCTTCAAATTTCCTTTTTGCAACATTGCTTGTTTTCTCCCTGGACTCCTCACATACTGCAAAGATCAAGTTCAAAAGAAAAATTATATATTATAATATATATCATTTACACAAAGCTTATAGCCCTTTGTAGATTATAAATATCAATACAATCATAAATCATTCTTGGAAAATATACATGTATATGAAGTACGTACACACTCACTGCACAAAACGTAAGGCAATCAATCATTTATAATTCGAGTATTTACTGAAGTCTTTCAAAATTCACTACATTTTACTGATGAAAACTGAAAACAATTCTTTAGTTCAGTAAGAGTTTAACGGCATTTGCAACAAAATAAGGTCAAATAAGTGCCGAAGATTAGAGGTGTTACAAGAGAGTAACAAACACAAGAAAGAAGGAGGAGAGATCAGGACCATAGATGATTTGTTTGATAGGAAAGAAAGAAAAGGTCACTGCGCTACACATTGATTGACAAGAAAGAGGACCCCCTGAAAATGTGTCCACTAAAAAGAAAAGATTAATCCACTATAGAAAGAAATGATCAAAGCTACAAAGAAATTAAACTCATAAACAGAAGCATCCAAAAACATGAGTGCAACGATTCTGAGTTAAAATATTTTGGTCCTAAGATCGGCAAAAAGTAAGCTCACTACTCATAGAAAACTGAATCAGCAACCTAATGTTAAAGCTACCTTCCCAGGATGACAGATAAACAACAAAAACATGGCTGATGAAAGTCATTAAGCTATCTATAACATTGTAAAATCAATGACAAGAGTTGGAAATATTTTAAATGATCTATAGAATATCTTAACAAGCTGCTCTAAAATAAGATCTGACAAAATTCAGACTTACTGAAGTTCACTCCTTTGAACATTCTTACACCGTTTCCCCCCTCTTCGTTTCAATAAAAACAGATTTAATACCATATTACCTCACACACTCGCAAGTTTTAAGACTTTCAAAGCTCAGCAGTTTTTTGTACTTTCAGGGAAGCAAATTTTATACACCTTTGAAACAGCTTATTCCATGTCCAAGAGGGCATTACGTGTGAACAATAATAAAATGTAGAAAAATTATTATCATTAGGAAGTGCTAGATGTGAAACAGGCATCGGCGATCACGGTTCGTTGTTCATTATTTTGTTTGGATGCTCTCGAAATTGTAAGTTGTTGCTGTCTTTCCTCATCACCCTGTCCTCACCCTCATCAATCTCTTCAGGTTCTCTGAGTAAGTTGTTCCCGGTCTACCCCTGCCTCGTTCATGACTATTTTTCCACTATGGAGAGTAAGATGTTCAAGGTCTTCATGATGTTGATTCATGTGTCCCAGAAACTGCATTCCCTTCTTCCCAATTGTTTTTATCAGTGAGTCACCTGTGTACAGAAAAATATCCGTGACAAAAACACTTTCCTTCCGGAGTTTTCCAAGCTTATATATATATCATTTTCTTTTCAACTTTCAAATATACCATGCCTCCTTTCTCTTCAATCCCTCTCGCCCTCTCTCTTCCCCCCCCCCCCCCCCCTCCTACCCCCCACTCTTTCTCTTCCCTTCATCTCAATTTCTTTCTCATTTCTCCCTCATAATCCTTTTTAAAATTCTCTTCCTCATCTTTCCTCCTCTTTCTCTTTTTCTTTCCTCTCAACTTCTCTCTCCTCCCTCCTTTCCCTCTCTTTCTCATCCCTCTCCTTGACCTCTTTCTCTACCCTCTCTTTCCCATTTCTCTTTTCCCTCCCTCTTTTTCTCAATCAACACACCAGGTAATACTCAGACTATTCATTAACAGACAAAAGTCTAAATGTATTGACCAAGGACATTTGCGTTACCCCTGTGACTGACCCACAGCGTGCTGAGTATCTACTTGTCTGAGTCTGAAATCTTAGAAACAAAAACCTCAAGCACATACCTATAGTATCAAAACTTGGACTTGTGATCAGCTTGATTCAAACATCAACTTCACATACTTTAATCACCGTATCACTGTCTTAAGTATAGATCGTATATATTCTATCTTTTGATTCAATCAACATATAAACATATAACCACTTTCCATCATCAATTCAGCAGTTTGTAGGAATGAAACATAAAGAAGAATGATAATGATCATGCTTTATCACATTTGCATCTACATCGAAGACAGTTTTATCATAATCATAAAAACAGTACATTATGTTTTCAAATCAGTCTCTTACAAATAACCTCCCTCACTCCGTTTTTTTCATTGGATACATAATTATTCTATATGTGATGGATTCTCTTTAAAAATTACTTGTGTCTACCTTATGCAAGGTTTATGCAGACCATTTTTAGGGGGAAAAAACATGGACTAAAGATATTTCTTGATAAATGAGGACACTGTTTCCTGGGTGTTAATCAAAAGTCAACTCCATCATAGCAAACTTCATGGAAATACACACGATTGTACAGACCGCTTATAAAGTGAGACTTTTCGCAGCAACGCTCAATTCATTAACATCGAAGGAATCGGCACCCTCCGCTGCACTGTCGGGCAAACGCCGCTGAAACTCGGCTTCCGTGAAGGCACCGAGCCCTCGATGAGTCACAAACGGGTTGGGGTCAGGGCGATCGAGAGGTCGCGCCAGCCGCACAGACGTGGTCATCTCCTTTAGTCTCAGCCGCTCCTCCAATACCTGTCGCTCCCTCTCCGCCTGCTTCAGTTTATCTGCTGCTTCCTGGGGTTGGAAAAATAAATTGGCTTACAATTACAGCACAGCCTCTCTATAACTACATCCTCCGGACCAGAAAAAAATGTCGTTATAGAGAGTTGTTGTTATAGAGAAGCAACCAAAAATATTACTAATGATATACAAGGGAAAAATCGGGACCTGGGCACGATGTCGCTTTACAGAGGATGTCGTTCTATCAAAGGTTGTTATAGAGAGGCAGCATTGTATTGCAACGTATTTCCTTTTTCATTCGTGTATGATTGGTGGGCACCAATGGTAGATTCTACTTCTTTATTTTCCTTCTTTTGTTTCTTTCTCTCTATTTCATTTTTCTCCAGCACTAAATGACCATTATTGTGTTGATGTGAAATTACAGAGACTGGAAAAATGAGACCAAAGTCAAAGTCTGAGCAGACAGCAACCTAAATTATACAAATTGCATTGAGGGGCCTAACTCACTGCAGACAAAAGGATTTAACGATGTACAAGCACTAAAGACTGAAGGTTTTTTTATTATTTTTTTTAAAAATCTGAACCATTTAACCAACTGCAATGTCCTTTTGACACAATCAAGAACAACACGAGAACAAGAAACATGCCAAAGTACAAGTGTCTGTCTCTGCTATATTATTTGTCATGATTGATTGAAAAGAGGTATTAAATCTGTCCCCGTGGTTTTAAGCACCCAGCATAATTTAGGAAAATTTGATCCTTTTTTGCATAATTTCTGATTATTTTCCTTTATCATTCTTTGTTAAAATTAACAGAATCGCATAATTTCACATTTTTGGGCTCATTTTGAATAATTTCAGAATTTTTCTAGCATAAAGCGACGGGGGCAGTTAAATTCAATGTTCAACAAATTTACGAATAAGAAAATAAGAGACGCCATAGACAATCTGCAATTTACAACACAAGCAGTCTTGGCAGTTAGGCCTACCTAACTAAAAATGCTCTATTTTCAACATTTCCGTCACAATCAAAGACGGAGCAGTAAAAACGTTGAATCAGATATATATCTATGCAGATTCTACTTTTACAGCCCTAAGCACAAGGATAAAATCTCAACAGTCGATGGACAGGCAACAACAACAGCAGCAGCAAATTGAAACCAGTGTTCACTTTCCTTCCACCTACTTTCTTCCTCTCATCTGTATATATCCATCTCCTATCTCTCCCAGTCAAGGCATAAACCAAATTTCCCCACATGGATCAATTAAGGGAGTGCTTATTTAGGCCACATATGGCCTAAATAAGGTAAGGGAGGGGGGTTTAGCTTATTTAGGCCACACATGCTCAAACTACCCTTTTCAGGCAACTGAGTTCGTTCCACTTTCATAATAATGGTGCACCTTTCTCATTTAGTACGGTTTTGTCTCAGTGTACAACTTATAAATCATAACCATAGTGAATATTGTAAAGAACAAAGCACAATACGCAAAATTGTGCTCAATCCCAATGGTTTGAATGAGGGCCAGATTTTTCCTTCATGGAGGGGCAAAAGCTAGGCTACCATTTTGGCATACTTTGGTCAAGTGAAAAGGTCAAATCCTCCGAATGGACTTCCGGGTTAAATTTGGGGTATAAAAAGAGTGTACACTACGTGGCTGAGTCAAAGTTACACTATCTTTGCCTGAGTGACACTCTCTCGTTCTGTCTCGTAGTAGTACATGTGTAGGCTAGTAGGCCTAGTAGTAGTAGTAGTAGCAAAGATTGTGTAGAGAATATTTGGTTGTAGATTCTATCTAGTAGGCAGTTTAGTGAACGTTCTCCCGGCAGGGCGAATCGGCCTCGATAAGCCTCGTAGACTTTTGTGATCGGCCACGAAGCCTCGTGTTTTGATGGGTCTAGATCTAAACAACTCAGTGTTATTCGCACTGCCACATCCGACAGGCCTAGATCTACATCTTTTTAAAAGGAAAAGAAAGATCATCAAAATGGTTGAATTTGCGTGAAAATCGATTTGGTAGAACTAGAACTATTAATATTTGCTTCTGAAAACAAGGCAATTTTTATACGAAGGCCATTTTTATAACTCGATGAAATAAAAACTACTGGCTGTGTACTGTGTTATTCTGTATAAAAATAAATTATGAAACTTCAGGACGTATTATTATTTTCCAGCATCTTTTGACGCCAGAGATGTAGAGGTTGAAGTTTTCACAACACTAATAGATCTAGTAAGAGGGTTAGGTAATAGGGCTTTCCGTAAAAAATGCATAGATCTACAAAAGCCGAACCACCGAATCGACCGGGCACCTTGCTCTCCCCTGCACACTGTGATAACGTGTTGCTGCGGTATCGCATTATTCAACTATTAATACGTGCGGCTATGGCAATTGTGATGTACTGACTGAAAAAAATTCAGTTTTGTTTTTATTTTACCATATATTTGACTTTAATAGTGCAGGCGATAGCAAGATCTAGATTCCCTGTCTAGAATCAGTAGTAGCAGGCCTATGCTAGAAGCAGCCAGAGAGCCTACAACTGCTAGATCTAGATCTAACTTATTATTGCTATGCCTTTGGGATTGAAATAAAACGAATTGCACAGTTCTAGTTACTTTTAGATTCAGCAAGTAACTGTATTTCCAGAGTCAATAATAACAAATCTCAGCATAACAATCACTTTTACTTGTATTAGAATAATTAGATCCAACTTTTTTTTCTAAAATCTGTTTTGCGCAAACTTAATATTTTCTCTACTTGTAGAGCACAGAATTTACATTGTAAGCCTCTGCTCAGTCTTTTAGTATACATAATAAAATACACACACACACACATATATATATATATATATATATATATATATATAGAGAGAGAGAGAGAGAGAGAGAGAGAGAGATCTATATAATCATTTTATGTTGTTTTCGGGATATTTTTAAAACTCTTTTTTTCAACATGTCATAAAATCAAATTGTGCCATTTTCTTTGAAAAGAATAGCATTAGCAGTGGACTTTTTAGACAGCGAGTCTCTGAGTCTGATTCAATATTTTTTTTAAAAATATGCTAATCAATGAAAATTGCAAATTGATAATAGTTTAGTCCTGTAGAGGATAGGTGGACTCTGGGGTCTGCAGAGCGAAATACTAGGTTTTAGGATGTGAAGCCCGGAGTCACCATAGTGAAATAAGGTTTGGTTTAAGTAAGGATTGGTGGACCCCGGGGTCAACGTAGTGATAAATAAGCAGGTTTAAGGTGGACCCCGGGGTCTACCTAGCGAAATACTAGGTTTTAGGACAGGTGGACCCCGGGGTCACCGTAGTGAAACAAGTAGGTTTCTTTAAAGATTGGTGGACCCCGGGGTCAGCGTAGTGAAATAAGTAAGGTTAATTTTAAAAGGATTGGTGGACCCCGGAGTCACCATAATAGCCGTAGAGGAATAAGAAGGTTTATTTAAGGATTGGTGGACCCCCGGGACACCTTGATTAAACCTACTTATTTTACTACGGAGACCGCAGGTTCCACCTATTCTAAAAGCCTAACTAGTATTTCGTTAGGTAGACCCTGGGGTCCACCTTAAACCTACTTATTTCACTACGTTGACTCCAGGGTCCACCAATCCTTAAAATTAAACCTAGATCTACATGTACTTATTTCACTACATTGACCCCAGGGTCCACCAATCCTTAATTAAACCTAGATCTACTTATAATTTCGCTACGTTGACCATGGGCTCCGCCAGTCCTACTATAAAATAAACTGAGATCTACTTATTTCACTATGTTGACCCCAGGGTCCACCGATCCTTAGTTAAGCCTAGATCTACTACTTATTTCACTACACTGACTCCGGGATTCACATCCTAAAACCTAGCATTTTGTTAGGTAGACCCCGGGGTCCACCTATCCTTTTGGCTAGATAGACCCCATAGTCCGCCTATCCACTTTTTAAAAAATAATAACTGAAAACAATACATGCCAGTTGTCATGAATAGTGAAGAAAAATGCGGGGAAAAAAAGACAATGAGGTAGACTATAATTTGTCAAAAATATTGCAAGTGCAAGTGAAGATCATAAAATAATTTTGTTATTTTCTGGTCATCTTTCCCGGTTTATAAAAAAAATTCCAGTGGGCCTACTACTAGATCTATGTATCTGAAGAACATTTTGCTTGCCTTTATTAGCTTTTTTCATGTACATGAAAGCATAGAATATATAGTTTCACACATATATATATATATATATGCACAATACTTTGAAAAAGAAAGATAAGGTCATTGTTGTTTTGTATTTTTACGGAATCTGTTTTACGTTGAGAAAAGCGGTAAAAACATGTTTAAAAATTTTAAGAATGCCCATAATATTAGTATTAGGAATCCGAAATTACTACCTAGTTGGCTTACTCTTTAATAACCATGAGCAGTTAAGAAAAAAAAGACAATGATATAGGATTTGTCTAAATATGACCATTAGCAATAAAGATGTTGCCCATTTTGTCCAATTATCCTTGCAGGTAAAATCACCCTGCACTGTATTTCAATAAGCACAAAAGGAATATTTCTGTGACTTTGTATAAAGGTGTGGCCTAAATAAGGTAAGGGAGGGGGTTTTAGCTTATTTAGGCCACAGGTGTGGCCTAAATAAGGTAAGGGAGGGGGGTTTAGCTTATTTAGGCCACAGGTGAGGCCTAAATAAGGTAAGGGAGAGGGGTTTAGCTTATTTGGGCCACCTGTGGCCTAAATAAGGTAAGGGAGGGGGGTTTAGCTTATTTAGGCCACAGGTGAGGCCTAAATAAGGTAAGGGAGAGGGGTTTAGCTTATTTGGGCCACCTGTGGCCTAAATAAGGTAAGGGAGGGGGGTTTAGCTTATTTAGGCCATATGTGGCCTAAATAAGGTCACCCATCAATTAAAGGGGAAGTTTGATACAAAATAATAAATAATATTTAAACAATAATAAATAAATTCATCTTATTTCCCTGTACCTGCTCTCTCACCCCCATCTGTCAGGAGATTCATTCATCTTATCTATTATTTTCATTTATCTTATTCCTCTCTTCTCACCCTCTTACTCTTTATTTACATAGTCTATTTCACAAACCCTCTGTCTGCCCTCACACCCCTCTTTCCCCACATTATGAGTTTTATTTATTCTATTCACCTCTCCCTATCATCTGTCTATCTGCCTCCTCTTTCTACTTTCTTCCCCTCATCTGTTTCTCCCCATACTCTCTCTCTCTCTCCTCTCTTACCTTCATCTATCCATCTACCTCCTCTCTCTCCCCTCTATTTGTCTTTTTACCCTCATCTCTCTATCCACTTCTTCTCTTACTCTCATCTGTCTATCCATCTCCTTTCTTATCCTCATCTGTCTATCTGCCTCCTCCCTCTCTCTCCTCTCTGTCCTCTCTCTTATCCTCATCTGTCTATCCACCTCCTCTCTCCTCTCTTACCCTCATCTGTCTATCCACCTCCTCTCTATCCTCTCTTACCCTCATCTGTCTCTCCACCTCCTCTCACTCCTCTCTTACCCTCATCTGTCTATCCTCCTCCTCTCAATCCTCTCTTACCCTCATCTGTCTATCCGCCTCCTCCCTCTCCCAGGCAATCTTCTCCAGGGTCTCCTGTGCCAGTCTAAGCTCCTCCTCCTGCTGCTCTCGGACCGCCTCCAGCCCTTGACGTGACAGTTGCTCCTCCTCCAAACGCCGCTGTTGCTCCGCTTGCAGTTTTTCTAGCTCCTCCCTTTTCAATAGCTCCTCCTCCAAAATCCTACATTGATAAAATTTTTTTGAGATTTTACATTTCTCTCGGAACAATATGGATGATCAAATGTGAGTATAAAAATGTTAAATTTACTTCAATCAATCCAGGTCAATAGCAGCACCGACTTTGAGTACTGATTACAATTTTTTTTATCAAATAAAGACAAATAAAGTGTATCTGCAATGTTAAAACATGATCAATGCATTGAATTTTTCGAAAACGTATCAACTGCTCAGTGTTTATGTGTAAGACTTTGCAAAATGAAACAAGACAAAACTATATTGTAGGATGCCTCTTGGTGTCTAAATTCGAATAAAAACTTTATCAGCCCCCCACCCCAAATGGATTTCAACGATTGTGGAATAACATTGACGAAATCAAACTTAATTTGTGATTTTGCTTGTTCGCCATTGTCGTGTTACAATCTATAGGTACTTCAACCCCTTCAATGCCATATATTGATGAAATGATAGTATTAATAGATAGCATTTGTATAATGTAAAATCCCGCTCAACAGCAAGCGCTATGCATTTTACAATCTATATCATAACCTCAGCAGACCTGATGACGGCATTCTGAAACAATCTCAACTTTATAGGAAGCAAACTAACACACTGACAAGATCTGTTGTTGTCTTTGGACAGGTAACTGTTCCCACCCGGGTGAAAAGAGAAAAATTCCTGTTAAGTGTCTTTCCGTAGAACACAACATTGGGCCTAAGACTCGAAACCCTGAATCCGCAACCTCACGATAAGGAGTATGGTAGCCTAACCACTCAACTACCGGCACCACCTGGAAAAAACATACCTGGAACGTCATGGAACTGCACAATTTTCCACATCTGAACGTAACAGGAAATGCACAATAGGTTGTAACGAGAGGGTTAAAACAAAATTTGCATTACTTTTCAGGTTTTACTCTATGATAATAATATTTCAGCTCCTCTTAAAAAAAAACTTGTGTGGGTGGTTGGCAGGTGCTCTGGTGTGGTCTGCATCTTTTGTCCTATCAAACATCTATTGTCCTTATCTCCCCTTCTTCTTTTTTATGTTTGCTATTAATATATTATCTTGCAACACCTCTAATCTTCTCGCGCTCATATGATCTTATGCAGTTGCGAGTGCTGTAAAACCTCTACAAAAAACAAAAAAAAAACAAACAAAAAAATAGTCCACTCCCAGTCCTGATCCTCACCTGCTTTGCAAGTTCCTCACTATCTCCTCATCTCTCTTCAGCGCCCGTTCCTCCTCCACCAACGCCTCCAGAGAGACCTTTGCCTCCTCCAGCTCCCTCAGCCTCCTCCTCTCCTCCTCCAGCTGTGCCTCCTCTTCCCTCAGTCTCGCCTCCACCTGGGCTCTCTGCTCCCTCTCGGCCTCCAGGGCCTCTTGGCTGCTGGCCACCAGGGCTTCTCTCTCTTCCTTCAGTCTTTGTTCTATATCCGCAAATCTGGGTAAGGGGGGAGGGTGAGGGAAGTAAAAAGGGGAGGGGGGGGGGGGTGTTGGGAGGGAGCAGTGGGAAGGGGAGTGGGAGGAGGGGAGGGAGATGGGGTAAAGGGAGAAAGGAGAGGTTGAAGAGGGAAAGGGGGGTGGGGGATGATGGAGGAGAGGGGGGTTGAAGAGTGATTGGGGGGGGGGATCGGGAAGGCAGAAGATGAAGAGGGAAAGGGAGGGTGGGGGATGGGGAAGAGGTGAATTTGAAGAAGGAAAGGGGGTATGGGGGATGGGGGCAGGGGGAAAGACAAAGGGGGAGTGAGAGGAAGGAGGATGGAAAAAAATGTTCATGCAATGAATTTTGATAGATTGTCAAACCAATTTGATTTCAATTGTTTTTCACTCTGTCAACACAATTTATATAATTTATCCTGCACATCAGCTTACAAAACCTCAAAGCTGTTGGCTACAAGAGCTTCCCATTCTTCCTTTACTCTTAGTCCAGAAAAAAAAATTACCTGGGGGAGAAAAAAAAATGAGCAGCATTGTGACAAATGAGTCTCTTGTTCCACTCAACTGCTTCGAGATATCGAGCAAAAAAACTTGATTTTCTCAAGACTGAACATTTCTAATTCCATAACTTCAAGAGGCTCTATCTTCTCAACCAAAGCAGTTGAACTAAATAGTATTTTCACCCACTGGTTTGATTGTAAATGTTTACATTCCCTCTAAAGCATGAGTAAATAATTGTGCTGTGGTGGTGTGTGCAATACTAAGCTCAGCAAACTTTAAGCATCAACAGTTCACAGACTGTATTATCCACCAGTCCCAGTATTTTGTCCATAGCCACGTACCTCTGTTTCTCATCCTCTATTTCTTTCCTTTTCTCTTCCAACAGCTGGGAGGTCTCCAGCCTTCTCTGTTCTTCCTCTTCTGCTCTTTTCTGTCGCTCCAACTCAAGAAGTCGCTCTCTTTCCTTTATTTCTTCCTGAGCAAGTTGTCTTTGCTAAAGCACAAAAAGAGATGGATCTTTATACTATAGGCTACAGAGAGATACTGAACATGACTTTTAAACTGCAACACAACAACATTCAATTTGAAAGAAAAATAATTTTCCGCTCTGAAAAGAAAAATACCTCCAAGAAATATTTAAAAAAACAACAAAATACCTTTTGAGTGAGTGTAATAACAAAATTTCTTTTTCTAAGCTGACATCATTGACAGAATACAGTATACCTGTCCCCGTTGTTTTATGCAAGAAAAATTCTGAAATTATGTAAACTGAGCTAAAAAATGTGAAATTATGCGATTCCGTTAATTTTAACAAAGAATGATAAAGGAAAATAATCAGAAATTATGCAAAAATGATCAAATTTTGCTAAATTATGCGGGGTGCATAAAACCACGGGTACAGGTATACTCCTATAGACTAATTTGAGTACAGAGAAGCATATCAAACACAGCAATGGTCATTCTGATGCTGGAAAAAAGATGGACAGACAGAGATAAAAAAGAAGAATAGAAAATAAACACAAGTGCCAGTGGCTTTCACTCAGGTACATGAAACAAACTGTGCAGCTTGACACAGAATGATCCCAAAGACAACAAAAAGAGATAGCAAAATGAAAATTCTGAGGAAAATATAACAAAGTCACATTTTGTTGATATTGAGAAAGCTCCATTTTAAAGTTTAGAACTTCAGGTCTTAAAGGAGGATTAAAAATGTTCTCTGTTCAATTTTATTTTGACCCATTCTTTATTCTTCTCTTCAAAACGATGTTATGTTTCTTTGAAGACGAATCAGCAGATTCAGGGAAACCTACCCTTGTCGCCGTGTCAGCGGATAATCTACTGACGATTTTAAACGTGTTTATTTGCTAAACTGGTGTTCTAAGGTGACAATCCCTATATCATTGGAAAGCTTGTCCAAAGCCTTATAATTTTGTTGATTCCCTCTGTTAGTTTTCAAATTAGGATAGCTTTGCATGGCGTTTGTTTTAGGTCCATTGTTTCGCCTGACATGTCGCAGTTTCTATCTAAAATGGTGAGCTCCAGGCAACGTGGTTTGATGCGGACTGAAGAAGCTTTGGAGTTGTTCGTGGATGATGGCAGTGATGAGGAGTAAGACTTAGAGTTAGAAGAAGAAAGTTCAGATGATAGTGATGAATCTGTACCATTGCTTAGTAGATCTACCTCACCATCCCCAAGTCAAGTCAAAACATTTTTTTTTTTTGAGGGCAACTAAAGTGATCTCGTAACCTTGATCAAGGTAAGATTTGATGTATGATTAATTGGTATTGTTAGAGAAAAATAGAGAAATTGTACTTTTTAGTGATGTAAGTGTGATTTTTGTACAGTTCACAGGAAAAAAATGGTGACCTGGTCACAGGGTATCGATAAAGGGAAAGTGGGTGCGTCTTCAAAGAGTTAAACTGCAGCATAATGTAACCCCACGGGAAATAACTCAAAATAAAAAAAAAGTATAATTTTTCCACTTCTTCTTACCCTGCAGCCTTTATATCAACTGCTCAGTAAAAAAGACACTGTCATACATCACTTTTCAAAAAGGCCTACGGCGGAATCTTACAATTAGCAGTAAATATATTTTATACATGGAAAAGTATTCTAAAGACTCTTACATTGACTGCGAGTAATAAAAATCAACAAACTCCAACTTCATACGACACTGCAAAACAAATCATCAAAAGCAACAACAAACAAGATTGGATGAACAGATGGGCCCTGGGAAAGACAGGCAGAGCAGTTTTCAAACATATGACTACAACAAAAAGGAATGACAATATCAACCGCCTTCAGAGAAAGAAACAGACCACGATCTTCCGCCTACAAACAGAACATATACAGCTCAACTCCCACCTGAACAGAATAAACCCGGAACTTCCCCCAATGTGTCCCTTGTGTGACTATGCATATGAGACTGTGGAGCATCACCTGTTCCACTGCACAGCCCTAAATGACATCAGAGCTACCCTTCTCCCTCCGAGACCTAACATAGACAACACACTCTATGGAACATTACAGCAACTGCAGCAGACCTGCACTTATCACTACATGGCATTGGACAGAAGGGCGAGAGCCCAGCTGTTGCTGGATCAATAACAACAACAACAACAAAGACTCTTACATTGACTGCGAGTAATGAAAAGCAACAAACCTTTCTCTCCTCTTCCAGCTGTCTTTCCCTGTCGAGAAGCTTCTCTCTATCAGCTACTCTCCTCATTTCCTCCTCAGCTGTTCTTCGTCTTTTCTCCTCTCTTTCCTTTTTTCTCTCCTTCCATGCCAATCTCTGTAGGCTGACGCCAGTTGAACCAACGCTGTTCACAACATGCTTTATATCTGTTAAAAAAAGTAGGCATATTAGTACTAATAGTATTACTCACTGAAAAATTTAATGCTCCAGTACCATAAAAGCTGACACGCTAACATTCATTACACAATGTCTAATCAAACAGACATAATATGTGAGGCAGCGTGGTGCAATCAGGCGCTCGTCAAAAAAACGAAAGTGAAGAAACTGGCATTTTTCCGCAGGTTTGGAAATTTTTATCGAATTTTTGTTTTTTGGCTAAACATCTTTCATGACCATTAAAGAAAACATTTAAGTCTGGATTATACAGGAAAAATGTTGATTAAAGGCATAAAAGATGACAATTTTCAGTTTCCGTGGACTCTCAAGCTAAGGAAATAACACAACTTTTGGATGAAAATTTCTTGCTAATTTTACCTCTGAAACCAAGCGACTCTACCTCTTTAAAGTGCCAATATCTTGACTTGTATCCTAGATAAATGGATTTTTTTTCCCATCAAAAGCAAGGTAAATGGACTGGCTTTAAGATGATATCATTAACTCCATATGCCCAAAAAATGACGAGGGCCTGATTCCACCGCGTCATATATTATATTATATATATAATAATAAATACTAAAAGATATTTATATGCCGCTCAACCCCGATTAAAGTACACAGGCTCTGAGCTCTTGATATATCAATCAAATAGAAATACAATAATTTTATCTTGCAGTAATGAATTTTTTCTTTTAAAAAAATCTTTTATCCATTTTGCCGCAACAGCATACAAACAAAAAGTTAACAAGAGAAAGAAAGATTTCAGTCTTTAAACATTTTTATCCCCCTTGTTTTGTTGATTTACTGTTTTGAAATATATGGATTAGAGGTTTGGTAATAGTCAAAAATGAGGATTACGTTGACGGAAGGATGACATATATATATATCACAAATTGCAAATCCAGCAAGCTCAAGACACTATACTCCTCAAATGTCTTATCTTCGGATCAACATTTCTTCAAACCTACAATCAACAAACACAGTTAAACAAATTATCTTTAACCATTTAATCATCATCATCATTAATGCTTTTCACCCCTGGCAGGGTACAGGCCACACACAAGCTCCTTCCATTTATTTCTGTCCTAAGCCATCCTTCCAAGCCCGTAACAAGTGAGCTTTATCTCTCTCATATCCTTTTCCACATATGTCCTCCATGTTTCCCATGTACTACCCCTGCCTCGTACTCCTTGTGGGTTCCACTGCAGTGACTGTCTTGTGATGTTTCCGCTGGGCTTTCTGAGGGTGTGTCCCATTCATCGCCACTTTCTTAGTCCTATTTCTACTTCTATATCTTTTTATCCTGTATGATGTTCATGTTTATGACCTTCTTCCTACCATCTCTCTTTCCTTGAGTTCCTTCCTAGTTCCAAATGAGGCCACGATGATCCTTGAACCATGCGCTTCCCAGCCCCTGAATGTATTTTGAGCTGTTTAGGATAAGATCATCCCTACTCCTTCTCTGTGTGGTCCATCACTGTCATTTCCTGAATAAATGAAAAGCTCCCCCTCTTTCATTCACTTCTGTCCAGACTGGTTCAAGTGGGTCCCGTTAATTCCTAGTATGTGTAGGTGGCATAAGTGCATCACTTGGAGGAACTGTGCAGTTTTTCCAGCCTCATAAAAGGTACAAACGTTCCACAATCCAATCTGAAGAGACTTGGACTTGGATGATGGTGGAGGCTTCTGCCCAGCAGCTTCCTTTCTGCTTTCACTGCTCACATCATAAACTCTCCATTCGGAGAAGTTCCACGACAAGCCAAGTAGAGATTCCGGTTTTTACTTGTATATGTTTCTGTAACAGGTTCTTTTTACGAGAGAGGTTATTAGCCTTGCGACTCAACCCCCGACCTGGAGGCTGAATCTATTTCGGCAGTCACTACCTGGTTGGCCATTTAGTCGCCTCATACGATAAGCTAGCACCATGTCAGTCCTATTCTTGTCAATATCGGGACTGCACGACTTCACCATTTAATAGAGAGTATTAAAAAAAAACCCCTGTTAGTTCGCTAAAAAGAGATGACTTGGTTTGGTAAGTTATGACACGAATAACTTACCTGACATCCATTCATTCTTTGACCGGAGATCAGGGGCGGACAATTCATACTGCTTATTCGGTGTGTGTAGCTTGAAGCGGTGGTGCTTTCCCCCTGGCCTGTCAGGAAAACTCTGAGTACATAGAAAACATGAAATTAATCTTACCCTTGTTTCAGATGATGTCAGCAAATTAAACAAACCAAAAATCAAAAGAACCCCATTTTGTCGGTACATTTCACATAGAAAGCTTCTTATTCTTCTTTCACTGTTATATCAGAAACAAACATTGGTGATCATTTATCTGTTCAGGTGCTCTCAATATTCACCAGATTTTTTCTAATCACCCATCAGTTCAAGTTGTCTCTAAGTAAGTCATTCTTTGTATGCCTCTTTTTCCTTATATTTTTCCAAAGAGAGCACGATGTTCAAAGCCTTTATTGAAGTGCCCTGTTAACTGCATAAAGCTTTCGAATATCAAATTCAAGCATATTTATTTACCTGAGTAAAACAACCAGACCCTATGAAAATTGTTCCTTTTAAGTCCTTTTCCTCAGCAGACACGTAGTATCGCAGGGCTGTGGCAGTCAGGACAAACCATCTCTCCTTCCATGTTGTTACTTTGTTCCCAAACTTCACTAAATGGCCCTGTATGAAATAATAATAATAACAATAATAACAATGATAATAAAGATAAAAATGAAAATAACAATAATAATAATAATGATAACAATAACATACATGACAATACATACTCATAGTGTTCAACCCTGATTAAAGAACAGACTCTGAGTGCTTCACTTTACAACAGAAGCAATAATAGCAAGAAACTGTCATTTACGGAACAGTACACAATGAAGAATATGTTTCATCAAACCTCCACTTGATCCTTTAGAGGGAGGCCATGTCTTCCTTCATTGATGGGCAAGAGTTACTATTTTGCTATAACTTAATTGAAGCCCCCAAAACTAAACACATTTGACAAAAACAACCAGTCAGAAAGCTTTTACTCATTGTAGGGTGACATCTTTTGTTTGTGTATGAAATGCGATAGGCCTACATATGTTCTTCCGGGTCAAATTTGATGAGGCAAAGCAGAGGTCAGTTTGATAAAATAAAGTGTTCACTGACCGGTGCCATCTCTTGCATGTTTAAAAACTATAGAACAAATTGAGATTTGATAAAACATTCTGCAATGGGCACTGGATATAAGGCCAGTAATAATTTCAAAAATACAACAAGGACCTCTTTTGTGGGTGTTTTATGCCTCCATTGACAAAATTTAGGGATATATAGGAGGCGGGCTTTTGACCATAAAAAGGAACTCTCACTTAAAAATAAAATGGAAAGCACAATGAGAAACTCTCTTTTCAATTACACCCACTTGAAGACAGTTATCTACCATACAAGCGTACTGGGATGTCCTGCTTGCTTCCTGTTTTGGCCCTTACAGTTTCTAAACTTTCCCTTAAGGACCAATATTAGCCTTGTAAGTATCACCAGAAACTCTCACTTAACCCTTTCCTGTTCACACTCTTTGCCTGTAAATGTGAAGGTTTGTTTGACTTCCTGTATGCTGGGTTCACATATTATTGTTCTTAGTGGAAGTAGGGGAAAATGTGGCATAGAGATATGATGCTCGCCTCTCATGCTATAGGTACCGGGTTCGAACCCAGCATGTCCTACTTTCTTTCCTTCTTCGTTCTCTTCTTCTGTTGCTTTTTCCTTCTTCTTTTCCTCCCCCTTTTCTTTTCTTTGTTTAATCTTCTCTTGTCAAGACACAAAAGGTGATAGTAGTTTGTGGAAGTAGAAGTAAATTGTGACTGCCCACACCGACTGGGACATACTTTCCTCGCTATACATGATGACCAGGCTATTGATTAATGTCAGTAGTCAGCTTCTATCATAGCACAGGCTACCACTGAGGAAACAGGGGGCTTTCTTGGCCTAGAGGTTAAGGTGTTCGCCTCTCATTCAAAGGTCTCGGGTTCAAATCTGGGTAGCGTCCGAAAAATTTTCTTCTCTAAAAATTGTCTCCTTTCATCTCCTTTCCAGCTCTCTAGCAATGTTCTGTTGTCTGCTTTCATCTCCACTTTCTGCCCCTACCCCCTCACCTCCTTTGCCCCCCCTCTTCTGGGCTCCTGACTCTTTCTGCAGCCTTTCTACCCTTACTCCTTGACTCCTTCTTCCTATTGTCTTTCAGCCACACCCCTGATCTTCTCGTAGGAAAGATCTACACCTAGTCTTCTTGGACAAGGATGAAAAATCTCGGAGGTCCCATGTGCAAATTAAAGATCCCTTGGTGGTCTAAAATCGATAAGAGTAGGCTTCGGCTGCCAATCGCGCAAAAATTCAAAATTTCCTACCAACTTAAAAAAAAAAAAAGTAAGCGTTTTACGGCCCTCGCAACTACATAAGGTTATATGAGCGCGCGGGACACACCTGATATTTTCAGTTGGTAGGAATTTTTAAATTTTGCCCGGGTGATGGCCGAAGCCTACTCTTATTGAATTTGGACCACCAAGGGATCTTTAACGAGCGCAACTAGCATATGGGACCTCCGAGATGTTTCGCCCTTGTCTGAGAAGGCTAGGTGTAGATCTTTCCTACCAGAAGATCAGGGGTGTGGCCGAAAGACACCTGTAAGAATGAACCAAGGAGAAGCAGTGGAAAGGCAGCAGAAAGAGTCAGGAGCCCAGAGTAGGGGGCAAAGGAGGTGAGGGGAGGGGGCAAAAAGTGGAGACGAAAGCAGACGACAGAATAGTGTAAAAGAGCAGGAAAGGAGGTTAAAGGAGACAACGTTAGAGAAGAAAATTTTTCCGTCGCTACCCCGATTCGAACCCAGGACCTTTGAATGAGAGTCGAACACCTTAACCGCTAGGCCACGAGAGCCCTCTTCCTACCAACTGAAAATGTTTGGTGTGACCTGCACACTCATATGACCTTATGCAGTCGCGAGCGCCATAAAACACTTACGAAACCCCCCCCCCTCAAAAACTGAGGAAATTCCAAGACGGATGAAAGTGGCCCGCCCAGCTGATTGTAACTGAGCTGAATACTAGGGTTGCATTTTTCAATGGCCGACTTTGGCTGGATTGAACAGGAAAGGATTAAAAAGCCAATTGATTCGTATCTTTGGGGCTTTACAGGTTTGATACTACGAAGAAATCTAGAGTAACATTTTTAAGCTTTAAAAGTATAATTTGTCTTCATCAACAACAGCATTTGAAGTAAAATCTAAACTTTTTGGGAATAAACCGCAATAAATAAAAATGGCTTCAGTTCAAGATTTACATTAGTAAACAATGCCCTGATACAAAATAAAAGTTACAAACCCAAACAAACTTAGAAGATAGGGATTTTTTTTTTCAGCTTGAATCTAAGAACATAGAAATGAATGAGAGCATTCTCTCTTATAAATCAAAAGGGGGTGAAAGAAGATAACAGATTACAAACATAAAGCTGAACCTGTCCAAAACAACCACCTATTCTTGAGGACGAAAGCAGTCGTCTTAGGCAGGTATTCCTCTTGGACAGAGTCATTGAAATACTGTAAAAATGTTGGGGGGGAGGGGGGGGGGGGGGGGAATAAATAAGTAAGAAATGGTTGTTTCTTCGGGTGAGCGTCTTGGACAGGTGGTTGCCACAGCAGGTTTGACAGCACAGTCTGAAATACAGAAGAAGTTCAAGATGTCAATGCTACCTTCAGCACTCACCTTTCTGACAACATCTGATATAATCTGATTGCTGACTTCTGATATGCCATGCCCAACAACATTCACAGCTTCCTCGTCTCCAATTCTTTCTGCAACAAGGGATACAAATTCACTAAAGTCCAACAGAAAAGATCCCTCGCTATACGAGAGTCGTCGCTCGAGTGCATTTGGTTTCAGGACAGGTATTCCAACTGCTTTACAAATTTCTACCGCAATTCTTTCAGTTTCTTCAACGTCGATTCTTAATGGGGTCAATACACTCCCATCTTCAGCTTGTTCACAAAGGAAATTGAAAATCTGAAAAAGAGAGAGCGCCAATATATTTTTCTGTTAAAAAAAACAGAGGGGGGAGGGGGGGGGGGGGAAACAAACCATGCAATTTTACGTGCCTCTTGGTGAGAGAAAAAAACTGGTTTCAGTGAGAGTAAATTACATTTTAGAATATAAGGAAGATTTCAGCCTGCCATTTCCTGTTCCTGTAAGAAATACCTGTGACCCCATTGTGATCCTGAATGTTGTGAATTATGTCAAGCAGTTCCGAATGGGAGTTGGGGGCTGCATTTTATAATTTTTATTTTCTAATGTATAAGTAGAACACATAATTATAGGAGGAAGACAAAGGCAGCTAGATATAAAAATTTATAGTAAAACAATAATGTACATTGGTCTATTTTTTTTCAATGATCTTCAATTCAAATCTGATCCTTACTATTCAGCTTCTGAAAATCTTACAAAAGCAAAGTCCCAACAATCAATCAAAAACGAAAGAGGTTTGAGGAGATTCCTACAGGACCTGATGGGAAAGAAAAAGGCTAAAAAAAAGGAAAAGATTCTGCATACGATGAAACTCGTAATGAAATAAATCTCACCTTCCACAATCTGAAGCGATCAGTGCTGGAAAATTCTCGTCTCTCTTTCCTTTCCGCCTCAGCTTCACTTTCATTCAGTGATTTGATGCGTTGCACGTAAGTTCTTTCACACAACATCCAACACAAGTTGTCAATTTCCGACTTTAAAGTTGCATTTTTTGCCTCAGGCAGCTTTGCCAGACCAACTAACAGATTATTTGAGAGAACATCCATAAAGTCGTCGAAAGTGACATTATCTTCTGTCACTTTATCCCAAATTGTCTCAGCTGAATCCACTTGCAAAATGTGGCCAAGATTATTTGTCAAAACCTGGAAAGAAGATTTCAAGTTCTTAAAATTCAAATATCACAGAAGAGTATTTTCCCTGAATAGAATACAGCAGTGCTATTGAGTTATAATTCTGGTAACAAAGTTTGACGACATCTGCAAAGAATATCTCTACCCAAAGCATAATCCTTAAATTCACCTATTTAAGTGGCATTTTTTTTCGTTATCTTTTCAAAAGATCATACATATACAGTAAGCTATGTATTTAATTGAATCCAATTAGACTGCAACATTTTCTAACGGGTCAAAATAAAATATATGCAAAAGTTACAAATTACGTTCCTTCCAATAAATTTCAGAGCTGAAATCCAAGCCAATCAAGTGAATGAAGAAAAAATCCATAAATTCTCCCTGTTTTCTATTTCCAACACACACAAAGAAGATGACTTACCCTGAGTTTGGTTTTGTGCACCTGTGTAGTTCTGACTTTCTGAGGCTGTGCAGATTTGTCCAAAATATCAAATGCATGCCACAAGCTTTTCTTGACCTCTTCCATCGCCATTTGTCTGTAAAGTTAAATAATACGAGAATACAAATTAAGGTTTAAATCAATTATGAATTTTTTTTTTCATATCACACAACATGTCTGCGTTTCATTTGATATTTCTCTTTCTATGTTTTTATTGCAAGATTTCAAAGGTAGTCATAACAAGTATAAGTTCTTTAACCAACACCATCACTGACATTTTTTCAAAATTTGGAAAGGCTGTGGGTTCTATTCCTGATCTTGCCAAGTACAATCTGTGTTATAATCTCCTTTAAAAGATAATTCACTGAGATCTCATAAGAAAGAAGGCCGCTGATTGTTGTTTACTCATTCGCTACATATTATTTTCAGCTTGTGGACTAATTTTTTTCGGGAGGACGAATGAGATGATGACTAGTGGGCAGTTAAAAGGTTTTTGGGGCCATAAATTCAAATAAATATCAACATATTATATTCCAAAATTTTCAGTTTAATTTGTAGAATACATCTGTATTGTTTATTTATGTATTTTTCAACTTTGGTTCCAGTAAGAGGCGATTATGCAACACAATTTTGATTGGATGCGGATAAAATTTGAAAATAAAAAATTAATAATCTTTGGTGAAACTCAAAAAATATGTTTGCACCTAGTCAAATGATACATCAAAATAATCATAAATGAATATAGAACTGGAAAATATTGAAAAGTTTGCAGTTATTTACATACATTCCATAATATTTGTACATTTGGATCAAAACATCTGATATTTAAAAAAAAATAAATTTATAATCTCAAAAAACGATCACAAAGAGAAAAAAACCCACTCGTATCTTATATGGAATTATTCAGAATTGCATTTGGAATAAACGTATACATGTCTTGAGTGGCACTTTTTGTGTAATTTCATCAAAAGGTAGTGATTTTGGGGAGAAAAAAATATTTTGACAATTTAGATCTAGACCTAGATCTAGCACTAAAAAATATTGATTTCTCTATAACAGTGCATTGGCAATATATGAGTCCAATCGTATCAATATTATAAAAAAGAGTCCTACATTTCTTTAGTGGGCAAAATAATGATAGATTTTGTTGTGTAAAATTCCTAAGACTGGTGTCTTGGCTATAATTTTGGCATCGCGATAAAACAAAGTCGAATAAACTACGCGTTTCAAAACAGAATCTAAATTTCCGATATTCAGTAGAAATGCTTGACCCAGAAGTCAACATTATATTAAGACCTTTATTTTAACATGGATATGTGGATTGGAATAGAATCTAAGCTAAAATAGAAGATCGGTTCTCGAGCCGCCAGGGGGGGCTTAGTGTACTGACGGCCCTTTAGCTGCGCCGCCCCCCACGGCTCGGCGTAGCGAATGAGTTATAAAATTTCTATGTGTCTCTTTGATTATAAATATATGTCAATCATAGAGTACCGTATATATGATACATAACAGGCCAGTAATGATCCATGGGCTTTTATGGTGAGAGATGTTTTTAAAAATTGTATTAGAAAGGATAAAGTTTGTTTTGGGAGAGAAAGTATGCACGAAGCAACATCAGCTGGGGCTGTTTTTTCAAAGTTGTTCATTTCAGTGTTCTCTGACCGTGAACATGAGGTACTTTGTTCACTTGAGCAAAAATTAAATGGGATTCCTTGTTCCTTTCAATAAGTCTGAGTTAATGTTGCGTCTGAGTTTAATTGTACCGAATATTATCAACCACTGTGAAGGAGAGAGTCTAACATCTGAGTTGGGCTTTGAAAAACGTGATTCAGAACAACATTTGATTCCAACTTTATATTATAAAAAGAATGTTGTACTAAAGTTTAGACTAAGACAAACATATGTTTGGCCTGAAAGAAGGAAGAATCCATATAATGTAAATGAAGAGCAGATTCATGAAACTAGTTGACAAACTTTCGAAGCATTAAATATAGGCTGGCACTATTTCTCCGAACGTTCGGGAAAATAAAGCTGGGCACTATTTCTCCGAACACTCTGAAATCACATCCTTTCTCGCAAATTTCGGATATTATATAGATCTATAATTATAGTATAAGCTTACCAAAGATTGTTCGTATACAATATGGTTCAAGCGGTCCAAAAAATGTCCGCAGTAAATATTTATATAAAGAAATGCTACAATTCCAAACAGTTTTTCGCTACAGATATGGCGTGTTGCCTATGAAGGGTGCTGCTCTTAAACGTAATGTGTTGTGTTCACTCGTGTGCTGTCTAGATCTAGATCTAGATCTACGGAGGGTTATTGATAACGACACATAGAACTGGCATCTGCGTTTGTCACTGCTGCGACCAATGTACTCAGCCTGTATTCAGTAACAGTTCAAAGTATACAAAAATAGAAACACAGGATCCATTCACTCCAGGGCTCATGAGTCGTTCGTCTCTTTCAGTTTCCCTCATTCATTCAATTCAGGCTCAATTCCCGTGTTCTCTCCCGCGGCTCATCCCTGTCCGCATGACTTTCTTCATACCCCACCCCCTCCCTCCAGGCACACACAAAGAAAATATCATTCTTTCCTTTGCACCCTGCGAACCATGGACAATAATATAGGCAAAACACTGCCTGAGCTGCATTCCTTTCTTTCGTGAGTTGTGGACCAGGCCAGGGGGTCGGTGTCGTCGTCTTGTCTTGTAGTTGCTGTCGCCTGTGGATACACTCGCACATTCTTCCTTTCACCCGCTCTTTCACTCACACTGTCTCTCCGTCCACAGCTCAGCTCGTCATACGTTCAAAAGTTGCCCACTGGTCATGTTTAGTTAGTGTGTGTACATGATGTGCATGATGGTGGTGGGTGTTACTGAAGGTTGTCTGTAGGCGGGCTTGCCATGTGGTGTTCCTTCCCAGACCAGAGGCCAGAGGCAGAATGAAAGTTGGCGCCGAACTCTCGCAATAAATAGACAAAAAATCACGAGACCGGAAGCCGGAAACCGTTCGGAGAAATAAAGATCGGCACTATTTCTCCGAACGTTCGGAGAAATAGTCACTTCGTTAAATATAAGACACTTCAAACTAAGTAACCAAGTTTTGAATAACAAGAACATAAAAATGTTAAAGTAGTGGATGATTCCTCTGCTGTCTACGCTTGAACAGAGAGACAGGGAGAGAGAGTGGACAGAGAGAGAGAGAGAGAGAGAGAGAGGTGATGATATATAGACTGTATAAATTATTTCTTTAAAGTGCACTTCTCTTTTCATATTCATTGAATCATTGTTAGTTGATATCGGGGTGATTTTGTAGTTTCGTTCGTTAAAGTCCAAAGCTGAACGCAAGAGACCTTGAATTGCCAGGTAATCGTTGAGGAGTGAACTAAGCATGAGACTGGAAGGAAACACTAAAGCCAAAAAATCAAAATTCAAGCAAAGAATGGCGCTTTTTCGGCAGTTCCCACCCCCCAATTATTATTCCCTAGTTTGGGCTCCAAGAGTCAAGAGTAGGGGGAGGGGGGGGGGGTTCAGGGGTGGATCTTTTGGGCTTTAACAAATGGAATTACAAGACGTAACAAGATCACCAATATCAGCAGCAGTTGTTATTAACAGTTTTAGGAAAACTTCCCAAAAATACAAAATCACTTACTGCAGGGTGCTTACAAGGCCACTTATGGCGCTAGCATTAGATCTCTGTCTCTAGTTTGAGTCTGAGTTGAAATTTAGATCCTGAATCAAGTCCAAGACGCGATGTCCGCGACGCACTTAAAAACTTCTTCGTCTTCGTCCTCAAGTTCGTATCCGGATATGTGCACCAATAAAGCCAAGAAGGAGTTAAAAAGAATATAATCAACTGCTATCAAAGACAATAAACCTCCAACACATAAAAAGCCACGACAGGTAAAACAACACAGTTTTCCAACAAATCAAAAAAGGGATGTAAAAATAAAACAGCCGGGTGTCAACAATTTTGTTTTCACTTCCTTGTTTTGTTGACAGCAATCCGGAAGTAGACGGTTGAATGCTATCTTGCGGAGATTCCCGTTGATTAGATTATGCGCATTTTGAAAGGTAAAATAAAGATGATCATAAACTAAGTAAAGATTACATAGTTATTCTTTGTATTCCTGAGATAAGATCAACCAAAAATGTATCTAAATCAGATGAGGGAAGCGTTTTTTTTTTCTAACAACTAGATTAGATCTACATATAAGATAGGCTTATAAATAATTTATTTGTTTGAAATCTTTTGTAGGCTGTTTTTTAATAGGTCTAAGGACCTAGGGGAAACTACTCCCGACTCCCAATTCTCTAACAACAGAGAGGCTGAGAGACGGAGAGGGAACTTTCGATTTTCGATCTCCTTTATTCCTCATTATTTCTTTCATTTAAATAATAAAATAATATCGAAGTGTAGAAACCCCCGCTCTTTGATATGCTAAAAATCAGAACGAAATACTTGGCATCATGAAGTTTCGAGGGAAAATTACTGACATAGGTTACATCCAGCATTTCACAAGTGAGTCCGGCTTTGCTCTAGCTTTGCCTTTCTTTGCTTTCAAATTTTATCGTAACATTGTGGGCTGGGTCTGGGTTGGATTGTTGTGGTAGTAGTGATTGTGTAATTGTATCTTGTATCATTAGGCTTATTAGTTATTAGCAAGTCAACAATCCACAATTAAATCTATTCAATGCTCTGCCAAATTGCTTGCATTCTTTATTCATCAATCCATCACTTCAGAGATCCAGAGAACTCTTTATTACTTTAACTAACCATGTCTGAATGGTGGCAGCGTCCGGTAGTCGAGGTCCGTAACCATGGCTGGACGGTACCACCGTCCAATGCGAAGTTATTATTGTATTATGGTACGGGTCGAATATAAAAAAGGGGAGGACTTCCGTAACGAGCAACCACTATGAGACAAGGACAGAGTAGAGCAAAATTGAAGGCTTGTTGGGGTAGGGGTAGGGGTAAGGGTAGGGTTAGGGGTAGGGTTAAGTCTAGGCCTCTTCATTATTGTGTTTGATGGGGTGGTCGCTCATTACGGAAGTCCTTCCTAAAAAAGTATGAGCTAACAAGCCTTTAGTTTGACCCTAAAGTCAATGATAAATGAATTCTAACGTCTAGGTTACACTTAAATTGATCAATTTGACATGAAACAAACGGTTTTAAAAATGTAATATGTCGGGTCACATTTCCACAAACACGAGAGAATTACGCGGAAACGTGATTTTAATTTATTTTAAATTGCATGGTTAAAGAGTTACGCTCAAAAGTGTTGGTGACAGGCTACTGTTTTAGAAGACATGAAGCTGCACCTAGCACACCTCTGGGATTGGCCCAAATATAGATGACATATTTCCGCCAACTATTTTCGTCATCTTCCGGGGCTTCCCTCGCCCGTTGGCAGGATGGGCTACGTCACTAGGTTTCATCGTCAACTGCATAGGCTGTGTGTGCTCGTGTGTGTGCGTGCACGCTTGTGTGTGTGCACACACGCTTGTTATGTGTGTGTGTGTGTACAACTTTGAGGAGAAGGTAAATTTATTGAGCGAAAATGGCTGAGATTGTTTAATAAAGATAACATAAATTAATACAAAAAAAACCCCAAACAGGCAGAGAATGAGTCATTATGAGATCTAGTCAGTTACTGGCGAGGGAAACCCAAGAGTCTTGGGGGAAGCCCCGGAAGACGATAAAAATAGATGGCAGAAATACGTCATCTATATTTGGGCCAATCACAGAGGTGTGCTAGGTGCTCGCTGCAGCTTCATGTGTTTGGAAGCAATGATTTGGCATGAAAAGAAGGTCATTAAGGGGGGTACAGATCTGGGATTTAAAAAAAAGCATATATGTGGCTCTTCTCTGGGGGTCGCACCAGTCAATAGATGGATGGCTATTCTCTGGCGTCACATATGAAGTAGATTTTGATCTAGTTGCACAAGTCGCTTCTCCTCAGCTTTTCATCTCCCCTGTTGGCACGTTATGGCTATTATTGTTGCAGCTGAGTTCAGTGCTAGATGCGCCTTCCTGTACTTAAGCTATAGTATAGGGAACAGATTTCGAGGTCTTGAATTGTTTTTCACAATATTCTTTGTATTCCAAACCTACAAAAGGAGGCTCTCATGGTCTAGAGGCATAGTGCTTGCCTCTCATACAAAAGGTCCTGGGATTGAAACGGACAGCACTGACAAATTTTTATTATCTAAAATTTTGTACTTTCACCTCCTTTCCTATTCTCTAGTCCTCTTAATGTCATCTCTATTATTATCTTCTCACTCCCCCCCCCCCCCCCCCCCCCACACACACACACACTCCTCTCAGCCTTCTCTCTTTTCCTCTCTTCCTTACTTGTGACTCTTTCTACTGCTCCTCCTGACTCCTTCTTACTGCTGTTATTCAGCCACTTTCCTTATATTAAGGTAGGAATATGTGCAAAAAGTTTTGGAGGTCCTGTGTGCAAGTTGCGCAGGTTTAAGATCCTTAGGGGATCCTTAAGATATAAGTAGGCTCCACTTAGAGCAAAAATCAGTTGCACTGCAAGTTGAGGAACCAGCAGTTGATTGCCTCTCTAGATATAGCAGGGGAAAGAAAGAGGAAAAAGAAACACACAAATAGTGTGTAAATAATTTGTGTGAAAAGTGTGTAAAATATTTGCCAAAATAATTAGTGTCAGCATATCATGTAGAGATGTAATATAACTTTGTATTCCAAAGCAGCCTTGATGAGAGAAAGAGGGAAAGTTGGCCAGATGAGTATGGCATGATAGTAGGCTATTGATCAGTCTGTAAACTGCGGGCAAAAATGTAGGCCAAAGACATGTTTATTGCTTTCATCATAGTTCTCAGTGCTAGAGCCTGTACATTTCAGTTGTGTGTGGTGAGTTTCCTGTCGCATGAAGGCACTTATTTCTGATATTGTCGCCATGTGTGTCAGTACGCTTCCTCTTAAACACACCATGCAACACCTTGCCGATGTTCTGCCAAGTTATGTGTCTAAGTGATGCTGTACATGTATTTGAGAGTAGACTATAGTAGGGGAAAAAAGCACAAAGGCTTCTCATTTGAGGAAAAACAACTTATCATAGCAGAGGTGGATACAAAAAATCTGTGTCGAAAATCTACCAAACGTTTAATTGACTGTGAACTACAGAATTCCATACTTATAGAATTCTGTGCTGTGAATCAATTAAATTATTATTTTATGGATGTTTGTGTAGTATAGGGGATATAATTCATGTAAAATTTTGACCCAGTCATCCAACTTTGTTTGTCTCCCTTGATATAGCCTGACATTCATACATGACAATGACAATCTTTATTCATCTCACAAAGAGAAATTTGTCTTGCTGGTTTACAATGGCAGTGGATGTTACAAAGGTTAGGTGCAACATGATAGGAAACTAGTTGTAATTGTAATGTTTTACGGCCCCTTTTGACACAATTTAGATCCGTTAGGAGACGGGCTGCTTCAATCATGCCTGTCAAGGCTAAGAGGAATACAATGTCTGAGCAGACAGATGGAGAAAGTTAATTGAAAAAAATCCCTCTGCAGGAAATCAAACTAATGTTTTCTGCGAGCCACACTGATTGCTTAACTGGTTCACTACAAAAGCGTGATTTTGTTTTTTTAAAAAAGTTTTAGTTAGTTACAATTAATTTCACTGCACTTGCAGCCCAAATAGGTCATATTTGTAAAAATGCTGTTTTGTTCAATATGAAAAGGTCTGCTGAGTTGTAACATTGATTACGGTAATTTCTTTTGATAAGAATTAAATCGGGCTGTGGTCAAAACATTTCTGTCAGTTTGTTTTGTGGACATGAAGTTTCACTCTGTTTGGTATTATTAGTTTAAATTTGAAGCAGAAAATTTTTTTTCTAACCTTATTTTCAATTTATTAACATGATTATAAAATGTTTAAAAACCACTTTTGGATCGAAATTACGAAACAAATTTTTGTTTTGATTACGTTTATTATTTGAATGTTCACACCTTTAACTTACTTTTCTCTGTTTATTCTACAGACGTTGTTGGAACAATTGCGAAGCTGGTCAAGTCTTGTATATTGAGGATAACAGAAGATAAAGTTTTCTTTATTCTCTCCGAGCGAGTTGGAGACACTGGTGCGCAGGTGTGGTGTGAATTATCACAGGTAAGATGACATTTGGAAAATAGGGGATATAATTCATGTAATGGTGTGGTGTGAATTATCACAGGTAAGATGATATTGGAAAATGAGAGGAATATTATATTTTCGTTTCTGTGAGGTTTTAGAAAAGAAAGCAATATTAGAAGGGTTTAGAAATCTCAAAAACAGAATATTCTCTCTTTTCAAATGTTTGCGTTTCTGTTTTTGATGAAAGTTGATTTAATACAGCATGAGTGAGAAGCAGTCAACAATGTAAAACATAATCTCACAAAACTCAGCAAAATTGTATTTTTAATATTATCATCGTCATGCTACAGAAATCCATGGTAATAGTTGTCCTTTGACTTCCTTTGACTTCTTTGCTGGGATGCTCTGAAAAAAACTTTTAAAATCCTGGTCTTTCCCCATCACCCATCTATTCTGGTTTTCCAAGCAAGTTGCTCTGGGTCTACCCCTGCTCCCTTTGCCTTCTCTTTTTCCAGTGAGAGAAAGTCATCTTTGACAGGTTGAGGGGGGGGGGGGGGCAGCTGAAGGCTATCTGTGAAAATAGTGAAAATCCACACTCCAAACTCCTCGAACAAAAAACTATTCCACATACATATAAAATTCGTCTCACAGATTTTTAGTATTACATCTTTTTTTCATTCTGTAAAAAATTCATGAAGATTGGATAAAAAATGGTAGAGTTACTTTAAAAAGTATATAGAAAAACAACATTTGGAGAAAACGCCGATAATGAAAAATAAAAGATTGACTTTATGAGGAAATAGTAATAACAATGGGATGAAATATTTGTAAGAGAGGCTGAAGAGGCCAAATGCCTACAACTTAAAATCTATAGTTTTAAGCCGAATCGGGACTTTCGGGGTGTATCTCCCCCCCCCCTTAAGGACAGAAAGATGGGTATGTCCTTATCGCATTGCAAGCGCTGTAAGTCTTATTAAAACTAAATTAAGCTGATATTGCCCAAAGGCAAGATAAAAAGAATTTGTCCTGTCTTATCTTATCTATTATGGTTTATTCTATTCCACAGAGCCTTCTTTTTAATGAGTATGCCGCAAAATTATCAATCTAATCCGTTATCCGATTCCACAGAGCCATTTTTTTAATGAGTATGCGATGGAAGGAGTATCAGAAGAAGCGAATGAAATCTACCTGGAAGTTTCTCCTGATCTGCTTCTTCGCTCTCTCAGGACGGCCAATACGGCAAAGTGGCTGAAGATAAAACTCACAAAGAAACACACGCCTTGCCTTACATTTGAAATAGATTTGGTAAAGAACCTTTTTTTCTTCTTTGTTTTATAAAATGATTCTAATGCGATTAGAGCATGGTTGACTGTAACCACTTTACAAAGATAGGAGAATAAGTTGTTTGTGTCTGCATGATCTGTGGTTGATTCAGTGTTTTCCCCTCATATTTTTCGGACCCAACATTCAGCAATACAAACACTCGTACACATACCTTTGCATGTCACTCATACTCATGCACATACATGCACACACACCCACACACACACACACACACACACACACACACACACACACACACACACACACCACACACTCACACACACTCACACCGTCACGCACACAAACACACACATGACACACACACACACACACACACACACACACACTCAAAAAAATTAATTCAGTGAGTAATGATATACCATCTTCTCAACATCTCGTAACAACACTCCAGCAATGTTCACATCAAAGAGCTTTTCCTGAACCTTTATGATAATTCAATAGGTTCTTTTATTGCTAACACTGATGGCTGAGTGCCAAATGTTTCAAAGTAGATTAAATTGCTTCTTTCTGTCAGATGATAGGCGTTTTGTGACTCAGTCTTAATGTGTGTCATGTTTGTGTCTTTGTGACAATTATCATTATTATATATGGAGGTTTTATTTTATGATGGGTGGTTATCGGGTGCTCTTAAGTGGTTTGCTCCTTCTTTATTATCTAACATCTATTGTCATTATCTCTCCTTCTTTTTCGTGAACATTACTCTCTTGTAACACCTCTAAGCTTTTGCACTTATTTGACTTAATTATATTGCAAGTGCTGTAAAACTCTTACTAGAACAAAAATGTAGATTTTGTTCTATGGTCTGATGGCAGAAATAAGTGAAAGCATAGGGCTGGTTTCTTTTCTGTTTTCAGGATAAATAAAATTGATTAGATCTAATTTTGTCTTACTATCTGCCTCCTGCTTGTTTTAGCAGGGTTAGGATTAAATATATTAATAAAAGTAAACGTCCAATTATTGAGATATTTTCATTTTTACTTAAGTTGTAAAGTTGCCTTAAATAAGCACTTTATAAAAGAATTTCTCTAAACAAATAGAAATGACTAAGGCATTTATGGAACAACAGTGATGCCTTTATTTATGTTAGTACTGACATTATACTTTCTTTTTATGCACGTGTACGTGTGTCTATTATTCTATGGTCATATAGCATGTAAGCAAGTGAAAGCAGAGCGTGATTTTTTTTTTTTTAAATTTGAGGACAAATAACATTAATCTTATTTCATCTTATCTTGTCTTATAATCTGCTGTCGTAAAGAATAAAGGGAAAGGCCCTTTTTCGAAACTACTTTTCTTATGGAAACTTTCAGATCTATGCAGAAAAGCGAAGCTTTGAATGATCAGTTGCCCGCCCATATCTGTCTCCCTGTATGATATTCCTTTTCTCATCTCTGTTTCTTGTGTAGTATTTCTTTCAAGATCTTTGTATTCTTGCTCTGTGGTGTCGACTTAACAGTAACCCATTTAAGAGCAACTTCTGCTCATCAGTAACCGAATTTTGTGTAACAGAATTTTGTGTTTTGTTATGGTAAGTGTTTTACGGTGCTCGCAACTGCATAAGATCATATCAGCGCGCAGGACATAGTAAGCATTTTCAGTTTGGTAGGAATTAATTTTGAATTTTACCCGGGTGGTGGCTGGAACCTACTCTTATCGATTTTAGGACCTCCAAAGGATCTTTAACATAGGCAACTTGCGCATGGGACCTCAGAGATTTTTTTCGCCTTTTTCCTAGAAGGCTAGGTCTTACCTACCCTAAGATCAGGGCAGTAAGGAGCTGAGGAGTAGCAGTAGAAAGGGTACACAAAGAGTCAGGAGTCCAGAGGAGGAGGCAAGGGGGTGGAGGGGAGGGGGGAAAAAGGTGGATACGAAAGCAAAAGCAGGCGACAGAACATGATTAGAGACCAGAAAAGGTGAAAGGAGAACGTTTTTTAAGAGAAGAAAATTTTCCGCCGCTGTCAGGAATTTCCTTTATAAATACCCCCCCCCTCTTTTAACAGCAACCTTTTCCCGTGACAGCACCCTTTTTAGCTATAAACTGTTCGACACAACCTGTTTTTAAGATTTAAAAACAGTATGGACACCTGGACTGGCCCATAATTTCAGTGTGCGTGCATCTCTCCACTCTTGTTTATCCCAACACCTGCTTGGGCCAAAATTACATGGATTGGGAGTGCTTTTCACACAATGTTGTGTGGTGTCGGTGGCCTAGTGGTTAGGCTCTCAGACTCGCAACCGTAAGGTCGTGGGTTCGAATCCCATCAGGGGCCCGACGTTGTGTCCTTGGGAAAGGCACTTTACACGAATTTTCCTCACTTCACCCAGGTGGGAATGGGTACCCGGCTATAGACAGCGAAAGATTTTGTCAGTTTGTTAGTGTTTGAGCGCTTAATCAGCTGCTTGCACTGTATGCTTCCCGGGAAGCTGAGAATGTTTCGGAGTGTTCTATGGTCTGCTGGGGTAATAATATAGTGTAAAGCGCATAGAGCCTGCTGTTGAGTGGAGATATGCGCTATACAAGTGGTATTTATTATTATTATTACTTTACTTCAAAGTTTCTCCCGGCTAGAGGGGCGGGCGTGGGGGGTTGAAACTGTCTCAGCCATTGTGCATAATACTGTCACTCGGCAATGGACCATCTGTTCATTGACTGTGTTCTCACTTTTCGACATAACATTATCACTACATCATACAAATAGGATATGTGTTTGTTTGTCTGTGTGTGTTTGTGTGAGTGTGTGTGTTTGTCTGTGTGTGTGTGTGTATATGTGTGTAAGTGTGTGTGTATGTGCACACGCGTGAGTGTGTGTGCATGTGGCAGGGGGGGATAGGGATACTGATTACTCCCAATTTGAAAATTAAGTTAGCAGCAACTTCTGCCTAACAACAAGGCTTGCTTCCAAAGGGGATGCATGGCTGTTAGGCGGACACCACTGTATAACATTCTTTTTATTTCCTCCTTTGTGTTCTTGTATAATATTCTTTTCTGGCTCTTTGAGTTCTTGTTTGACATTTTACTTTCTATCTCTGTGTTTTTGTGCAATATATATTCCTTTTCCCGCTTCTATAAAACTGCTTTCTGGATCTTTAAGTTCTTGTATTTCTTCATCCCATCTCTGTTTTTTTTGTAATATTCATTTTCTCTCATGCGTGATCTTTCGGAATATTCATTTTTCTGATCCCTGTGTTTTTGTATATTTCTTTTCCAATCTCTGTGTTCTTGTATAATTTTCCTTTGCCCATCTCTATTTTTGTATAGTATTCCCTTTCCCTCGCCTGTGTTCTTGAATAATATCCCTTTTCCCAACCATGTGTTTTTGTATAATATTCCATTTCCCGCCCCTGTGTTCTTGTATAATATTCCGTTTCACATCTTCTCAGCCGAGTGGTACGTTACATCAAAGGTTGGTAGTTCACGATGTCCCAGTGACAGTGGTTGCTAGGAAGCACTGGCCAGATTTTGCAGAACCAGTGATGCCCAAATTTGATGTAAGTAAACGAAAAACTGGCATTTGGAAGTTAAACATTATGTTTATAACTTGCTTGGCATTCTCTTAGTGGCTTGAATAATTCTAATGTCTCTCTCTTTCTTTCTTATCTTCTTCTTATCTCTCCATTCTCTCCCTCCCTCCCTCCCTCCCTCTCTCTCTCTCTCTCTCTCTCTCTCCCTCTCTCTCTCTCTCTCTCTCTCTCTCTCTCTCTCTCTCTTTCTCTCTCTCTCTCTCTCTCTCTCCCTCTCTTTCGCTCTCTCCCTCTCTCTCGCTCTCTCCCTCTCTCTCGCTCTCTCTCACCCCCTCTCCTTGGTATTAGATTTAATTAATTCAATTTCCAGATCTGACTTTTTGCATTTTTGCATGCAGAAGACGTTACTTCTTTTCCGATGTCAGAATGTTTATTTTATTATTAAATATCTCTGTCTATCTGCTGGGATGTAGTATATCTCTCAGCCCAGGTTGGTCGCGACAGGCAGGGTCAAAGCAACCCACCTCACGGGTAATCTAAATTCTGTTGGGGGGGGGGGGGAGGAGGAGGAGAATTCTATTGTGGAAAGGAAGAGATCTACAATTGTTACGTAACCTTTGTCATGTCACATGCTGTTCATTTTTGTACACTTCAAGAGATAATGGACGGAACGTGCTTTGGATGAGATGAAATGATTCTCTCGTCTATTCTTGTATGGAAAAATACACAAATGATGTTGTGAAGTATTCATGCGTGTGCAGTAGTAGGTCTCCTTGGACCTACTTTTTTCTACACAGACTCAAACTCAAACTCATCGGTGGTTAGTGGATGCTCTAGTGTGGTTTTTCTCCTTCTTTCCTATCAAACATCTTTCGTCCTTATCTATCCTCCTTTTTTATGGTTTATTACTCTCTTGTAACACTGCCTATCTTGTATTATCTGTTGTGTTGCAAGAATTGTAAAATGTTTACTAAAACTGCGAAAGGATAGAAAATATGCTTCTTACAAGATGAAATGAAACTTCCTTCTTTCTGTGCATGGAAAAATACTCAAATGATAAAGTTATGTTTTTTTGTGTGCACAGTTGTTTGTCTCCTTTCACCTGCTTGTCTTTACTCAGACTCAAACTCAAACCCCTTGATATTTATCTACAGGTGAGCATCGCCCTGCCCCAATTACGCTTACTCAAAAGTGTTGTAGACAAGATGAAAAACCTCAGCAACTATGTGGTAAGATCACGTTTTGATAATATATCAATTTCCGATTGATCTTTGTACTCTTATTAACGAAACAAAGTGCAGTTGAAAATGTTGAAGACGGCCACCCTTTTTTTGAGAGGAAAGTGGTTGGCTTAGACAGGTTGTTTGAGATGAGAGACAGGTCCAGATAGAAGTGTCGCCATGCAATAATGTGACCATGGACTACAGCTGTTGTTCACAAGTCTGTCGTTTCTTCTTCTTTAAGACATCGGTGATCATAGTTTGCCACCAATTTCTCGGTTCTGATACTCTAAACACACTATTTGAATTCACGATTTTCACAACATTTTTGGAAACTCGTGATTTCAAATGATTTGCAAAATGTTGAAAGGGGCACTACTGCATGGAACACATGACACTCGGTAACTGAAATTGTGAATTCAAAATGTGGGCGTAACACTAAATGGGCAAAATGGACCAAAAAGCCCGTGAAAAAAACCCCCGGTGTACAGTATACTATTTCTTGGTCGGTTTTATTTTTCTCTTTTCTTCCTTGTTCAAAGTACATTAGCAGGCGTTTGTAAATGTGGTCCAGTTGATTCAATGAAAGCTTCAGTATTTTCAATGAAATTCAAGTAGATTTCTACTCTGTCAAGCTTTTTTTAGCCAGGTAGTTCAAAATAACTTTCTAATGTTGGAATATGTCGTAATACAGTTTAATTTTCCTGTTGCAAATGAAATTCAGTCGTCTGAAATAACATGACTGGCTCTGTGACAAAATGGGCTATCTCTCATATTCAAACTTTCTCTTTCTTCCCCTTAGATCTTGAATTTTGTGTTTGATATATTTGTTCTCAAGAGTCTAACCCAGTATAAGAAGAGGTAGAAAGTGTTTATTCGTGACCCATACCCTGATGCTGGGTGTGAAAGGCACTCATGATGACGGTATTTTGTCTCAAAACGTGCTGTAATTGGTCAGTTTATGGTGGTTTTATTCAGTTTTTTCTTCAGTATCCCCCTACTGATTGTGAATCGAATACACAGCTTTAAAGATTTTAAAACTTTTTGAGTTCATCATATTTTGGTGCACAGCCCTTCATATCGTCACTGTCAAGCAATCCTCTTAAGTCCAGATTTTGAGAATTTTTTATTTTTACGCCCTACCAAAAAACTCTGTAAAAGATGCACCTTTCAACATCACCAAAATGCAGTTTAATACTTGGTCAAGGGTTTCAATTTCTTGCTTTCCATAATTCCTGATAGGAACAACAAAACAAAGACTAGTTTTTTTCTTTCCAGTCTGTAAAAATTACCCAAATGGACTTACGTGACTTGCTTGCAGCACCAACGATATGTTTCAGCATTACCTTGTATTATAATTTAAAACCTACCGAGGGACCTAAATGTACACTTAAGTTGACAGGTGCGCTCAATTCAAAGTGTAATATTTCAGGGAATCAAACATGTGTGACTGTATCAGTTGTCAATATGCTCAAGTTCATGCCATACTGGGTATCATTTTGTAGCAGACTGATACTGATACCTTTTGCGCTCGGTCTCTGTTTACTGACGTTTGTGGTGTAGCGGTTATGCAATTTGCTGTCGCACGCAGGAGACCCGAGTTTGATTCCCATGTGGGGAGAAATTTTTAGAATATCTCAGTCTTTCAGTTGGGATATTGCCTCCCTCTCAGCCCAGTTGGCTTTAACATGTAGGGTTGGAAGCCTGCGTCTTATCTAAATTGTGTCAATGGTGGTCTAGAAACATCTACATTAAGAGCGATACTGTTGGGTCGAGTCGTCCTTCTTCTTTCTTTTCTTTCCTTCTTTCGTCTCTGTTTTCACTTTCTGTCATACTTTTTCCCTTGGTAGTTGTCGGGTGCTCTTGTGTTGTTTGCTCCTTCTTTCCTATCAAACATCTGTTGTGTAATACCTTTAATCTTCGGCACTTATACGACCTTATATGACCTTATTGTGTTGCAAGTGTCATAAAACCCTTACTATGGCGTTCATATGACCTTAAGCAGTTGCGAGTGCCGTAAAACCACTACTAAAACAAAACCCTTACTAAAACCAAAAGTACTTTTTCTCTGCACTAAATGACCTTTAGTGTGTCAGTGTGCTTCTCTTTACTCATGAAATGCATATATATTTTTGCTTTGTTTTCCAGGCCTTGTCAGCAAATTGCAATGGTGAGATGAAGCTGTCAGTGGAGACAGATATGGTAGCCGTCAACACTCACTTTCAGGGGCTTCACAATCCATCCTGGTGTAAGAATCTAATACAGTTGAACCTACTCTAATGGCTGCTTGTAATGGACAACCACATGTACAAAGGGCCACTTCCCATTTCTTCCCTTTCATATTTATTTTTCATATCATAATGATCATAATGACACCGTGTGTGACGCCCACCTGTCTAAGACAGCCATTTTTCTTCAAGACAACGGGTGGTCGTCAAAGACAATTTTGACTATATTTTATTGTTTTTTTAAAAACATCATGATCAAATGTCAGGTCTGAAACAGAATAAATCATCATGGTTTGTCACTCGTTTCTCTACTCAGATTAGATGATGGCAAAAAAACCCTGCATTCTTTTGGTGTTTTCCTGTCAGATGCAGGCCCATCATCAAACATGTGCTAGATAGTGTCTTTGCATTGTATTTCCATGTTGAACTCTATGTGTCAGGGAGGGTTGTTTTCTTTTTGCATGGATTTTTTCCGTCCTTTGGAGATTTTTTTTTTCACCCCCTGGGGCGGTGCTACTGACTGAAGTGTTTTTAGGCCATTCCCAAAGGGGGGACATTAACATGTTCTTATGCCTTGTAGAATTGTAAATCGGCTGATTCATCAATGTCATGCTCATAACTTTGCCTGAACTGCAACAGGGAGCTGCTGCTTTTTCTTTCGGAATCCTTACTATTGTCATTTTCCTCTTCTTCTTTTGCATGTTTGTCACGCTCTTGTGACACTCTATTTCCGGGGTGCCTTGATAGTCGAAGCAGACTTTGTGCTGTTGAAGCTAGAGAGGTGAGCAGAGTAGGCCTGATTCCCTGTAAAGACTTCTCTGTTGACATCCGCCCTTTGGTGCTCATATGACCTTATGCAGTTGCGGGCGCCGTAAGAAAGTCCATTAAAACTTAAATTTTAAAAAAAATTTTTAACAGGTTGTTGGAAGACTCTTCTGATAGATTCTACTTTTTTTTTCTCCCTGCTCTGTTTCTAAATTCTTTCTAGGTGTCTGTCTGTCTTACTTTCCCCTGCACAAAATGACGGTTATTGTGTCAATGTGCCTGTTTTACTCAAACTCTTGGTCTTTGACAAATTTATTTATAAAAATATTTTTGTGTCTCGTCATCCCAGGTCGAGACGGAGGGGATGGAGGCCTGTCGTCTCAGTCGGGGGATCTGGATCGAGACCCTCAGGAATTTGCCACGTCTCGTGTCCACATTCGGCGCTTCGCACAGTTCCTCAACAGCCAGCAGGTCAACCCGGACAAAGTGGTGTGCAGTGAGTGCTTTCTTGTCTCTACAATGATAATACTCTGATGATATTTTGTGTACTGGGTGGTCCCTTTTTTTGGTCTTACTAAATCTACTTATTGGGATAAATAAAGTAGTCTTTTCATTTACTTATTTTTTGGGGGGTCTTGTTTCTTATGGGATATCGATAAAGTTCTTCTCGGTAAAGACCGAAAAAAATCCACAGCATATTTCAGACTTTTCAGATACTTATTTAAAAATCTGTTAACTTCCAACCACACACAGAAAGCCCAGACGGTCTCTAATCCTTTGCACACAGAGGACACAAGCTTGGCTGTTGTGTGGGAAAGGTTGTTTTTTTTAAATCGAATATCTCAATCGGTCTGCTGGAATGTTGTATCTTACTAAGTGTGGATTATAGCACAGGTGTCAAACTCAAGGCCTGCAGACCGCATCTAGCTCGGTAAACAGTTATATGTTCTGGCCTGTGAGAGAATTTTAGGTTTTCCATCCTGAAAATCTTCATGGCACAAAATCTTGCTCCAAACATAAACAAACTTGATGTCCAGAAAAGACGCCAGACGTCCAGTCCTGACAAACTGAGAGCAAAAATTGGTATGCCTTGATCAGTTATCATTTTAACTTTGTCTTTTTTATTTCCTGCCATTGTTTGAAAAAAAGTTTAATTTCCCACTGCTCTGTGAGTGTTTATCCTGTTCAAACAGCAAGACAGTTCAGCTTACCTGGAAGATGGAATCTAGTTTTACAATTCCATCGACACAATTTAGATTGATTTGGTTGGGGGGGGGGGGGGGGGGGGGGGGGGGGGGGGGTGCGGCTGCTGAGTGGGATACTACATTCCAGCAGATTGATTGAGATATTCGATTAAAAAAATCTAAAAAACTTTCTCCCACAAACTTTCTTTGTGCGGTTGGTAGTTAATAGATTTAAAAAGTATTACAAGTGCAGTAGTTTTTTTTTTCATCCTCTTCTGAGAAGGCCTTCATTGATACCCATAAGACAAAGAAAAGAAATTAAAGAACTACTTTATTTATTCAAAATTATCCCCATAAAAAATGAGATGAAAAAAAAAAAGCAAATGAAAATGAAAAGATAATTGATCCCCATTAGAAATAAGACTAAAAAAGAAATGAATGAAAAAGAAAGACTATGTTATTTTAAAGATCCCAAAAAGAAATGAAACAAAAGAGAAAATGAATGTTATGGAAAGGCTGCTTTATTTGGATCTGAAGTTAGGTAGTAAAAATAAAAAAAAGAAAGGAATAAAGAGAAATGTCTACTTTATATCCCTGTATGATGAAAGTTTTTTTCAAAACAGTGTTCCCTGCTTTCCTCAGATATTGTCCACCATCGCATGGCTCACTTCTTCCTGATGCATGACGACGTGACGTTACAGTATTTTCTGCCTGTGGTGTCAAGATGATGATTCTTGATTGTTCACCATTCCTACCATCGCAATGTTCTGGTATATGCTCTAAATGTGTGTTTGTGGAAAAACTGAGTCAACTCTTTTTGTTTTTTGTTGTAAAACCTGCCTTAGGTATCGACATCGATCTGAGAGTGTGGTTGGTTGATAGGTGCTCTGATGTGGTTTGCTCCTTCTTTCCAATGAAACATTTATTGTCCTCTTCTCTTCTCCTCCTTTTCTTTGTACGTTACTCTCTCATGGTTGGCAGGTGTTCTGTTGTGGTTTACTCTTTCTTTCTGATCGAACAACTGTGGTCCTTATCTCTCCTCCTTTTTTTCTTTGTATTTTACTCTCCTGCAATATCCCTAATCTTCAGCACTTATATGACCTGTTTGTTTTGCAAGTATGGTAAAACTCTTACTAAAACTTTACTGAAAAAATGGACAACAATATGAGGGTTCATAATGATGAAAATCAGTTTGCAAAATTTAAATAGATAGTATAAGTGTACTGTGAGGTTAACTTCTGTGTCTTCTCTTGTTAATCAGAAGACGGGTTGTTGAAGGGGGCTACTGGTAGGTCCTCCTTCTTTGTTTATGACTGTGTAAATTCATCAATGTGTGTGAGGGTCTGTGGGTAAGCTTTGTGGGATAGTCTTTACTCAAGGATGTACTGGAGACAGAGTGAGAGAGAGAGAGAAAGGGGATTAATATAGGAGCTGTACGCTGCATATTATGTTCTTTGCATTATTGTACAGCGCATTGAGCACTTCTATGTGGAAATGCGCGATATAAATGCAATATTATTATTATTTCCTTCTGCTGTTTCTGTCTGTCTGTCCTGCTTCTTCCTTGCTCTATATGACCATTGCGGTACCAGTGTGCTTTTCTTTACCTAATCTCAAAACTGAAGTCAGAATGGTTGGGTTTTTAAAAATTTAATGTTGAAAAATGTTCAAGCAACCAGATACATGGTTACAGCATAATGTGAGGTGTGATGACCAAATGAGTTGGGCTACTTCTTGCTATCAACAAATGGAGATATCAGCCGGAAATTGACACTGGGTCACATTTGTAGATTTTGAATTGGTACCATTTTCTTCAAGTTTTATATGTCCTTCATTATTTCATTCTTAAAATAAATGTACATACTCCACCAATAAACTTGATTTATCTATTTCCGTAGGGCTGAAATTTGAGAAGTAACTCATTTTGTCAGCACACCTCACATATCACTAATAATTGATAATTTTGTTTGTTTGCATTATGTTGGCCTACATTTTTTCTTTCCTATTAAACATATATTGTCCTTATCTCTCCTTCTTTTTTTGTGTTTGTTACTCACTTGTAACACCTCTAATCCTTGGCACTTATATGACCTCATTTTGTTTCAAGTGCCGTAAAACTCTTACTAAAACTATGTACATTTTCAATTTGGCACCATCGCAACGTTCTGACGTGATACACAAGTTGGTTTTCCAATGTGTTTTTTATGTTTGTGTTGATCGAGTACATTTTCAATGATATGTCTTTGGAGAGATTAAAAATGATTTTGTTTTACAATATGACTTCTCACCATCTCTGTCATTCTTCAGTTAATATAGAAGAAGACTGTGGGATATCTGTCTAGTGCTTTGGCAACTGCACTCATAATCGTGAGATTGTGGGTTCCGGGATTCGAGGCTCAGCCCAGTCCAATGTTGAGTACTTGGGAAAGGCGCTTTTTGTATTTGAATTGGCCGATATATATATATATATATATATATGGATCAGTCCTATAGGTGATGGACGTTGAAATTTGGAGGACCCACCTCTTGGTGATAAAATCTTATAGTGTTGCATGGGGTGTTAAACCAGTATGTGTCACGACGCTGGGGAATCAGGCGAGTGTCCATTTTTAGGCATGTAGGGTTATTGCTGTTATCTTAAAGCTTGTTCTTTTGTCTGTTGATGTAAAAATTACCCATCTATCTTGAATAGAATCGAGATATTTGTGATTGAAGGAGGTGGGGGTTGCCTGGTTTCAGAGCTGAAATTAGCGAGAAAATGGAAGCCAAAGTTTGGTTATTTGTAAATCTTTAGTCTTGGGAAACTGAAAATTTACATTTTTTATAATCGTTTTTCAGTAAAATCTACACAGAAATGCATTCTTACATGGACATAAAAGTCGTTGAGTCAAAAACAAAAACCTCAATAGAAATTGCCAAACTGGCAGAAAAATGTAGGTATCTTCAATGTTATTATTTTGACAAGTGCCTGATTTCACCAAAATGCCTCACATATAATTTCACACAATTTTTTTTTTTTAGAAAACTGGACGCTGTTTATCTTTTTAACACCATAGTAAAAGGCTCAAAAGCTAACAAAACAACACATCACAGACCATTACACATCATAGAAAACTTTTATTCTCCGACTAGTGTGAAGCCAGACAATCAAAACAGGATCGCATCACGTTATCACGTATCAGTCATAGAATCAATCAAGTGTTACAGAAGATACAATATAACAATACGCACAAATTTGCAAATTCTTCGGAAGTCCGACTCTGCCCATTTGACATCACATTGTCTAATTCAGAAGAGTTTGTTTTATCTCTCCTTGATATGAAGATGAGAACACTGAGGCCACTGCAAGGGTCCAAAAAGAATACAATTTATTTAGTATTTACTGAATTCAGGACACCGCCCAGAGAGAGAGAGAGAGAGAGCATTCAAAACTGTATCAACTGGGTGTACCCTTTACACAGAGTAAAAGAGAGACAGATAGACAATTGCATCTGGATAAAATAAAAAAAATTGAATGGACTGACAATGGTCGTGTTAAATAGATCAATTTATCTATTTGGCAAATCCAGCATTTCCAACATACTGTATATATATGTATTTATGTATACGTACATAACATACACATACATTCAGTAAAACCTGGATAACACAAATGTCATGGGACCACACAATTTTTTGTGTTAAGCAGATTTCATTTTTAAGGAAAGTTGCAATGCATAGAATAAAATGGGGGAAAAAACCAATGGGGATTTTAAATCCTTCACAGAAATTTCCTGCTAAAATGGCTTAATGCTAAACAGGATCTACTGTATCTCTAAACAACAGATTTTCAAATGAATTTCTGACAAAAGGGAAAGAGACGCGACACATTAGAATACAGTGGATCACAGGTAAGATGATTTTATAATCAACACAGTAAAATCAAGCTTTTATTTAAAACTTTCATATAGTGCATGATAATTATTATTCAAGACAGAATCGGGGCCATTATACAAGAAGTGGCACACTACACTGGGACATAGAAGTAGAAGTATTTAGCGCTGTGAATCGAGAACAAATAGGGTGGATGGAAATGGTGTGAGCAAAACCAGCAATCTAAAAACTTTTGTTCTTTAAAAAAAACAAAACTGCAACAAAAGGAAAGCACTAATTTCTTTACCACCAAGTCCCCCCCAACTTCAACAAAACATTAATAAAAAAGAAATAAACACACAAAGTTGTTATATTACTAACTCTTTATCGCCCTATCTGTGCATGAGTACAATTGGACTGATGAAGAAGCCATCTGCGGAACACAAGAATCTCACACTTTGTGCAACAACAATGAGCGAGTATGTTTGAAAGCGTTACCAACAAGAACCCTTCGGAACTGGGTAAAAGTTAACTTGGGCCTTCTTCAATTCGGATCTTATTGGAACTACTACATACATCCAGGGTCTCCACTCTGTGAGGTCATACTACTATGTCCTCATGCCTTTCATACCAACAACTGTCAAAACTTCCAAAAACCTCAAACAAAAGCAAGGGAGTATTTTGTCAAGAGTTCACATCATCACAGTAATTACTGTCATGCATAAAAGTAAAAGTATAAGCACAGCCTCCTTTCCCCCCCCCCCCATCCCCATATCATTTTTAACTGCTCCACCTAGTTTGCAACATCTGGGGGTCACCGTGGAGGTCACAGTGGGGTTGTGGGTACGTCTTATTCTTATACAAACAGGAAACAATGGGATATGATCTTTCAAACTTTGTGAATCGCGATGCACAAAAGATGTGGGAGGTTATCAAACTTTTACTATTATCTAGTAAAGCAGGAATCTTGTAAGCACACAAAGGCTTGAACAATGTGTGTGACAAATATACATCTACAGCTTGTTGCAGCATCAACATCTATGTAACTGAAATTTTCAAGTACAAGTAGCAAAAAAACTAACAAGTTTTAAAAGGTAATGGAATGTATAATTGGAGAGTTATGAGTTCCTCAGAGCTCGGCAATCTAAAACACAATTCATTCATCTGAGATTTCAAAGTAAAAAAAAAAAATATTGGGAAAAAAAAGTGATTTTTGCTACTAAAATGTCAATTACGAGAGTGAGGTGCAAAGCTGTTGCTGTTGATGTATTCCAAATTAAAAAAGCAAACATATCACTTGCTTCTGGTCCAATTCAAAGCCATGATTTGTATCATCAGACTCTTTTAACGCATTACAATTAGGTGATCAAGGTATAGTTAGTTTTTTAATTTGTTAGTTTGAGTACTGATAAGCACATCGACGCAATAATATTGAAGATAGATAGAAACAACAGAGAGAAAGCTAAGAAGTAGGACCTACCAGTGGCGTCCTCCAACCGTCTACTCAGTTTTTTTTTAGCCATATCCAATCACATTACAACTAGCAAGTCCAGTACAACGCTATGATTTGTTTCCTAAAACTCTTCAATACATTGCCATTTGGTGATCTAGGTAGGCCTACAGTCAATATTCTAAGCAGTAATAGCAGTAATAGCAGAACACACACATACACACACCCACTACGCCCAGGCCTTTTTTTTGGTACTAAATCTAAAAAGGTTATTAAATCAAAACAAGTGAACCTACTTTTATAGTTCTTCATCTAACAAAAGAACCTCCAGTAAAAGATAGGCCTACCTGTTCTTGGCAATTGCAGAAAAATTATTGGATGTCGAAGTTGTCGTAAAAGAAGGTGCTTGAGCTGCTGTAAGCGGCTCGCCGGCACAGCGTTTCTGACCGCGAGCCACAGGGAGCGGCTTGCTGGAGATAATGAGTTAACGTCATTCATCAGTCAATAACATTCAGCCCAGCAACACAAAGATCCAACACCTTGTCCTCCGAGAACAGCAAAAGAGACCAAGAAAATCACAAAGTGGAGGGAAAAAAGCTACTGGCCTAGTGGCAAAGCTCTTGTCTCAAACCCATTGACATTGGGTTCGAAA